GTCATCTCGGGAGCTTGATACGGTTTTGTATATATTTCATTATTTCTTTTTTTTTTAATTTTTTATTTTATTATTAATATTTCATTAAAGTAGTTTAGTTCCTTCTAAACTCGTAAGTCTCTTTTTCCTCCTCTGCCTCTCTCTCTGAAGAGGGGTAGAGGAGAGCATCTGTCGGTCCCATCTGGGGTCCTTCAGGTCCCCAGTAGCCGATTTGGCCTAAACCACGACATCTTCCCAGTCTTCCTTAGTGTAATGCAGAAGCAAGTAGGAGAGCTGGAGGGGGTTTCTGTTAGCCAGTCAATCAATCATTTCCCAATGTTTGTTATTTATCCCTGTGGCCGAGCCCTCCCCTCATCCCTGCCACTCTGGGTGATGGGGAATTTTTGTGATCTCTGAGCAGCAGAGGCAGGCAGCCTGATCGATGCTAGCAGCTCATGCTTAGCCATGTGAGAGGAGAAAGAGCAACAAGGAGAGATGGAGTTAGAACTTTATTAGGAGAAACCTAGGCACAATTGACTAAAATCTCACATTAAGGAGAGCATACAGGTCTTCCCAGGATTAAAAAATACACACATATAAAAAACCTTTCAAACAACAAAAAAAGTTTTCCCCCTCTCTGTGTGTGAGTATGTAGGTATGTATATGTACAGGGAACTGTACCAAAGCTAACTACATATCAGGAGCAAGGATTCACAATCCCTTTCAGCGGCCCCCAAGAGAGGGAATGGCTCAGTCCCCTCATAAGCTGGTCCCAGGCCATTCGCTCACGTAGTCCAACGTTGGGAAGCTGTGGCCCATGTCTGAAGGGGAAGCACAGGGTGGACAACAGGAAGCAGCTTAGCTCTGTTTAGCAATTTTCTCTAAAAGAAGGATGTCAGCTCTGCAGTGAGAAAATGTATCTGGAGTGGGAGCTGCCTACAGACCTCACTCACCAGACTCACTGTGCAGTGTTGGGCCCCAGTGGCTGCTGTGAGAGGCTACAGTGGTGGGAGGAGCTGGTCCGTGGCTGGTTTCTTATGCCATATGTGCTAGGGATGGGATGGAGAAGACGACGACCTGATGGCAGAAGAGGGACTTGCTGTGAGGACAAATATCTTGGCTTGCACTGGCTGGCAGGCTTGAGGGAGTAGCCAAGAGCTGAATGATGTGCAGGACCTGGAGAGGACTCTTAATCCTTGCAAAAGATGCTGAAGTGTTTTGGTAGGTTAGTAAGAGAAGACACAGACCGTACCTCTTCTGCAGATAAACAGAGGATGTTTTTTTCTGTCAAGTTGGCGGCTGACAGCACCCTTTCAGCAGCATTCATGTTGCTTGAAAGATGAGTTTAAAAAGGGGAAAAATCACTTTGATTCCACACAGTAATTCCTCCTTTTTTACTAGTAGGGTATTTGTTCTCACAGGAGAGTCTCTATTTCTGTTAATGGATGTCTTGCTTAGAATTGATGACATAAGTATCTTAGGAAAATTCCCTAGTCTTCATCAACTGGTCATCTAAGCAATATCCCCAGGCCCCAGGGCGAGTCTGTTGTGCTGACAGAGGAATGAGGAAGGGATTCCAACGTTAGACATGAGGCAGCTGTGCGTGGGGGACCACGGATGTCCTTATCTATGGGGAAGAGTTATATCCACAGTGTCAAAAAATTCAAGTAGGATTTATTGTATAGGTAAACTAGTATAAAATATCTGGGCTCAGGTAGAGAAAAGGAGGGTTAGAAAGAGTGAGAGCAAAGCAGATGAGAAAGTCTTTCTTTCAGAAAGCCTACCAGTGTGTTTCTGCTCCCCGCAGGTGAGAGAAGCTTCAGCTCAGTACAATTGCCAAGCTGCTGTAGCAAATGTTGAATAGACACCAAAGAAGATGCAAGAGGGTTGAGGTTCAGTCCATCTGTTGAATACAGTGTCGCAGTGGATACCTGCTGGGCAGCCTCAGGAGTCTGCTGGCCTGTGCTCTACCAGGTGAGTCTCCAATCCCTGTGGGCCCCATGATGAAAATATGGCCCAGAGCTTCACATCTCAAGATTGGTGCCTCTCTTCAGTGCGTGTCTCCCACTGGCTGCCTCTGCCTTAAGCTGTGAGAGGTGCTGTCTGAAATATAACAATGATGTACACTGAAAAAGTAGCAAGAGGGTGTTAAAACAGAGAGAGGTTAGTGGCAAGAGTCTGGAGTCCACTTTGCAGAAGTTTTACTAAGCGCTGAGACTGCTTCTTTTCCTCATCCCTCCTGGAGACAGGTCACACAGACAAATCATCCGACCTTGCCTTGCTGCTGGCACGGCTGGGCTTGCTGGACCGGGGTTTTTCATTGAAGTAGTTCTCAGGGAAGGTGGGTGCTGCACATTCGTTGGCCACCTCTGGACTCTCCACATAGCTGGACTTAATGAAGGGCCCTTCACCAGCAGCATCCTCCTGGCCATGGACCCTCTCAGTGGCAAAGTTGGCGGTGTTCTGCTGGGAGGCCATCTTGTTGCTGAAGGGGCTGATGAACTTCCCGTTGGGACTTGACAAGCACTGGTTAAAATCTGGTGGAGGAGTGTACATCTGGGCTCTTTCTACTTGTGGGGCAGACTCCAGTCTGCCGGGGGCTGTGCTGGGGCTGGGTTTATAAGACCGGGAGCACCTCTCTTTGGCTTTCTTCCAGCCCAAGTGGTACAATTCAGCCAGACTCAGGAACAGGGAGAGCACTGCCACGGCCAGCATGAAGACGATGAACACATTCTTCTCTGTGGGACGGGAAACATAGCAGTTGACGGGGTGGGGGCAAGGTGCCCGCTGGCAGATATACAGAGTCTCCAGGAAGATCCCGTACAAGATGTACTGTCCCACAATGAAGGCCACTTCCATGGCAGTACGAATCAAAATGCTGTAGACGTAGGTGTTCAGCAGACTGCCCCTGAGTATGATTTTGCCTCCCGATTCATCCCAGCAAGACAGCTCAGCCTTCTCTGCCACAGGGCACTTCTGCTGGTAGTAGGTGTCACCACCGTTTTTCATCTCCTGGGCCTCTATTTCTGCCTCCTTCATCTTCCTCTTCTCCTCCATGCGCACCGTGTGCATTGCATGGCCCATATACACCAGAGATGGGGTGGAGACAAAGATGATCTGGAGGACCCAAAACCGGACATGGGAGATGGGGAAAGCCTTGTCGTAACAGACGTTCTCGCAGCCAGGCTGTTGGGTGTCGCACATGAAGTCAGACTGCTCGTCGCCCCAGGAGGACTCAGCTGCTGTACCCAGCACCAGCATTCGGAAGATGAAGAGCACGGTCAACCAGACTTTCCCCACCACTGTGGAGTGTTTATGGACCTCCTCGAGGAACTCTCCCAGGAAACTCCAGTCTCCCATTTCTGCTCACCAGGAGGAGTGAGAAGTCTTGAAGGGAGAATTGGATGCAGCTTCTGTGGGAGAAAATAGAAGAGAGTGGTTCTAAGGAGGGTTAGGAAATGCTGAACTGGGAATGCATGGAATGAAATTATTTGTTTTGTGTCAAAGGAAATGTTTTAATTTGACCTGAAATGAATGAGGTCTGGTTTGCTGAAAACTTTGTTTCGCTTCCACTGAAAACAATGTGGTGGGGTTTGTTTTTTTTATTCAGCTACTGAAACAAAAAGTGATCCTTTGCATAATCCAGCTACAACCTGTTAAATGGGCAGCCAAAACTTGGAGGGTGAGCCAGATTTTTTCTTGGTTCAGAAAGTGCTTTCACTGAGGTCTGCATACTGCATCCTCTGTGGACTGTGTCATTTAAGCAGTATTCATCTGTCTGCAAACTACACTCTGGGGGATCCTTAATGGGCCAATCCCCTGGGAGACCAGACTGGAGTCTACAGCTTGGTCTGAGCAGTGCCTTGGCACTTGCATGTGTTGCCTTTGTGTAATACTTGCACTGACACCAGGAACGTGAAGTGCTCGCAACTCTAGGCTTCATTTCTGAGCTCGATGCCACCACTGAAAGAAATGCACAGAAAACCTTCCCATTGCCCACCTGCCCCTTGCCCATAGGTTTCACTTTGGTTTTGCAGTGTCACCAGTTGCCAGTGTTTCATTTACCAGCTGCAAATGTTTTGGGGAGGGTAAAGACTTCGGTGCGCTGTGCCAGTCCTGTATACCCAACCTGCTGCCACCCTGTCACACCGCTCTGAGGGGCAACTGCTGCAAAATCTAAATGGTGGATCTTGCTCCCTCCTTTTTCTGTAGCTCTGAGACAAAATTCACGGTTTGAATGACACAGGCAAAAAAACCCCCAAAAGCCTACTTTGAACTTTCTCCCAAGGACCAGCGGCTCCTGGGAACTGCTGTTTGGTATGTGGTCAGATGAGAGGAAAGGTTTGGTGGGCTGGTAGTAAGATTGCAACATGAGGACGTAGGAGACCCTGCTGCAATTTTGTTTCTGACTCTGACAGACTGTTTCTGGCCAAGTCGCTTAACCCCCTGGATAAAAAGAGAACGATGGGTTTAATCCATCTTTTGTGGGGCTCTGTGGGAGTGCTTGAGCAATCATTTGATCCAGTTATACTTGCCATGCTTACCATCCCAGGGCACTGCAAAGCTCTCCCTTGTGCATGAGTTAAGGGCTAGGTGCTATAAAGTGTGCACTATTACCTTGGAGATAATGTTCTCCCACAGTCACTCTTTTGGAAAATATCCTTTTAATAAATAAATGAAAAACTTAACAATCATCATAATGAAATATTAAAAGCACTAGACAAGGTAAATCCCAAAGCTGTAGGGACCAAGAGTGTTAACTCTCCTTCTTTATTGTCTCTTGTCTTGTCTTTAAGAGCCAATTATTTTTACTGTACAAAGAATGTCTGTGGAGACTAGACACTGTTAAATGCTGAGAATTTACTGCAGCAATATTGTGTAGATTTGCTGTGAGCAAGAGCTGGAGAACAGAGAGAGACTCTTGTTGAGGAAACAATATCCCCTCCTTTGGTTATGTACGTGATACAATTTAATGTAGCAGCACACACAATGATTTATGCCATTGCTTGTTTATGTGCAGTGTCCATCCGCAAGGGTGCATGGGACAAAGGTCAAAAGCCAAATCCTTAAACTCCTTGTGCTGCTGAGGGCTTCCCTGAGGAAAGGTGAGGATTGCCCAGGTAAGGAGACGGGGAGGTGACCACCACCTGCTGCCCCACTGCCAGTGGGAAGCTGTGTAAGGAAGGGAGAAGGGGCACACTGGGAAGAAAAGGGTGGGCTTTGGCTCTTCTCTGCTTAGGCAGGCATGCCGCAGTCGTGCTGGTGTGGATCCTGGTGGCTGCTCAGAGTACGCTCAAGCTTTTGTGTGCTGCCAGCCCAGAACTGGAGGAGCAATAACAGAAAATCAGCTAGTCTTTCAGACTCCTCTCTGTCTGCAGTGGTAAAATCTGGCAGATCTGCGGGTCTGTCTTATCTTCTGAAGTGGCTTTGGTGCAGTTACTGTGTTCTGGAGAAATTAGCATATGGCGTCATTCTGAGGGAAACCAGGGGATTGCATCAGGCAGATAAATCAGTGATGGGAAATATTGACAGGCAGTTGCATTGAAATCAGGATTTTTGATATTATTTTTTTTTTTCCAGAATGCAGACAAGGCAACCAGCTACCTACAGTTCACTGTACAGGTACACCCAAGACAATGCAGTATAGCACAACTGTACATGTGGAATGTTCCTTCCAAGACAGCATGAACAATGGTGTGTGTGTCCTCATTTTTCCAGGTGAGTTTGTGTTGTTTGCAGGTGCCCCTTTGCTGTTGCTAGTTGACAGCTGCCTTTTCTTGATTCTCCTTGCTTGTTGGGGTAAAAATGAACACAGTTGTCCCTGGCTGTGCCAAGGATGAGTTTTCCTTCCTGCCACGTACATGTGCAATCACAGGCTGAGCGCCTCTTCCCACCAGTTCTACCATGTGCAGGTGGTTTAGGGTTTTACTATGGCTTGCTTTCCCCAGGGAGGGGACACCTAGACACTTACAAATTGTAAAAATCAATGTGTACAGAACACAAAGGTGTCAAATACAAGTGCAAGAGTCCAGAAATAAAAAAATGTTAATGGATGTGAGAATTGCAATAGTTTACCTGCCTCACACATGCACAGTATTTTCCAAAAGGAGGTAAATCAGAAGGATCCAAGGCTGGCAGCCGTGAGGCTTAGGCTAGATATTAGGGATGTTCTTTCTGCTCTTCCTTCTGGCTGCTCCCCTGCACGGGCTGTTTAAAGGAGGGGCTGCCCAAAGAACTGAATGCCTCCTGATCGTCCTGCCAGCAGCCCCACAGAGAGCCAGGTGGCTGCTGCAAGGGGGTAGGTGGCCGCAGGAAAATGGGTGTTGGATACAGAGAGAAGGGCTTTCCCTCCTCCTGCAGTGTTTCTGGTTTAGGTGTTTTTTAGTTATTGGTGAGCTATTTGTGCAATGCCAGTCCAAGGGCCTCCTAGAACAGAAGAGAGCATTAAGCTCTCTGGTGCCAGCAAGCGAAGAAGGATTGTTGTCACCTCGTCACAATTTTTCCTGGCTGTGCAGGACTGCCTCTGACCTAGCCTTTCTCCTCAGGGCTTTACTATTCTTGGGAATTTTCCATATAGTTTCCTTTCCTCATTCCCAGACTACTGCTGTCCCCGTACGCTTTGACCTCTCAGCGTGTGAGCATCTGTGGCCTTTTATATTCCTTGTTTGGACTCAATCAGACAAATCCTGTCTCACTCTGGTGTGACTTGGCGAAAAATACCTCCGGGTATCTTTGTGGGGTCTCAGCACCTGATAGCAGACTGTCTTGACAGCAGTCATGCATATTCATGCGGAGTGGTGGGCTGTCCTGCTGCCCAGCCCTGCTTTTGGCTGTCAGCTTTCTGCTGGATCGACAAAGAAGCTGTGCGCAGTCATGGGATCTCGGCACCGGGAAATGCGTATATGACAAAGACCAGTGCAGCCTGGCACAAACCCAGCGATGTGGCCGTCCTGGCTTAATCATCACCTGGAACGCTATTAAAGCTGGGAAAAACCAAATATCAAGCTGCAGGCCAGGCGTGGAGTCCGCCCAGCTCTGGGCTGTCTTGTGACTGCCAAATTCCATGATAAAAATACCCTGGCGGGAACGGCACCTGCCAGTACTCCAGGCTGGCTCGCCGGCCACGGGCTGCTCTCCGCCATCCTTTTTTTTGTGCTACCTTTATCAGAAGGGGAAGGGGAAGGGGAAGCATCCATCGCTCTCTGAGCAGTTTTGCCCATCTTGTTTGTGGTGCCGCGTGCTCTGAACAACAGGTGAAGCATTTTGTATTGCTGCCGCTTGCTGCGGTCAGCACGCTTTTTCTGGACAGACCAACTGGGGCTTTGGGGAACAGCTGGTTGATTCACACCAAAAAGGTGGGAGGACTGTTCCTGACCAGTCCTCTTCTTTACATGAGTTTATTTCCCCTGGAATTTTTAAGAAGACACTTTCCCCCTCTTTAGAAGACAGGCGAGACTATCAGCAGTGATATAAATAGCTGAGCTTGACACTTCATGCTAACTTTTCCCACAAGGAAGGTGACAGGAGGTCGCCATCTCTGCAGGATGTTTCTAAAATAAAGTGGAGAGCCTCATTATGACACTGTTTCTGCTCTCCCTCGCTGGGCTCACCTCTTCCCCTTGGCAGGTCCCAGGCGCACGGAGAGGCTCTCTGAGGAAGGCTCCTTTGTGTGGGAGAAGTGTGGCTCCCAGGGAGGGGAAAAGTAACAAAGTCAAAGTCATTGTATTTTTGCCCAATCTGTGTGTGTGATTTGCTCAATTGGATACAAACGTGTGTATCTGATAGTTAATGAGATGTCCCAACGAACCAGAAGGCCCATGATGTTGTGAAGAGTCTTGCACACCAGACACAGGGCTGATGGGGGGGAGCCATGCGGCAAGTTCATCCCCTCTGAGCTCCCAAATGGGGTGGCAGATGTCTCCTTTAGGTACTGGGCACATGAGAAGTGACAGCCCCACGCCGTGGGGCATCCTGGCCAGCTGTGGCATGGTCAGTGCCTAGGAATTGCTTGTGGCCTTCTTTCCTTCAGCTGTGTCACCTCATAGGTCCAGGCAAGCGTGTGGCACAAGAGATAGCGACTGTAGGGGTATGAGGGCAGAGATCTTTTCCCTTGCATTGATGACTGTCAGGCTGCAACCAGACCTGAGTAGTTCCTGCACTGCAAAACTGGATGCTCACACCTGTAAACACTTGGGAAGGACACTTCCAGCTCTGCACTCAAGATTACTAGTTAATGCTGCTTTGCTATACGGCTGTGCATTTTACTTAAGGATCTCCATCCCCCTGTTAGCAGTAGTCCAGCCTCATGGCATCCCATGCAGTGCAGATGCTGTCATCTGTATCTTGCAGATGGCGACCACTGGGGTACAGAAAGGGCAAACTGCTTGTTCAAGGTCACTGTGTTAGTGGCAGT